AGCCCGAAAGGGGAACAGAGTCGCGTGACAGACACAGTGATGAAGCTGGTATGTGTTTGTGATGTGACCCCCCCGCCCTCTCTCTCTCTCTCTCTCTCTTGCTCTCTCTCTCTCACTCTCTCTCGCTCTCTCGCGTTCTCTCTCTCTCGCTCTCTTTCTCTCTCTCGCTCTCTCTCGCGCTCTCTCTCTTTCTCTCTCTTGCGCTGCAATTTATGAAAGAACTCAATTAAATCTGTATGTGGGAGTGTGTGTGAAATAAACATGAACTATTCCTTTAAATAGTATGTCTATACAGAAAGTGATTCTAAAAAAATTCACAATCACTGGGGTCAAATTCTGTGACAACTAGCCCCGATGTTCTGTACATACTGTAACTTCTCTGCAGTTCTTTCTCGACTATTCCTTGTAACACTCCAAAGAGAAAGGAAAACTTGAAATTGCATCATATGACCCCTTTAAAAAAATAAAGCATATACATAAACCCTGTCGGATAAGCATTTGCAAGCTGTAGCGATATGCATATATGTACATTTGCGATATTTCGATAATTTCGATATATTGCACAGCCCTAGTTTCTCATATGTCCTTCTTTTCTCTCTCTTTTCAGCGTTCTCTCCCTCATTGTTAAATCTCAGCAGTATATGGTGAGTGACAGATCAGTGAGCGCGGTGCGCAGAGAATTGAAAGAAAACGTCACAACCGAGTCAGAGCGAGAAGCGAGTGAGAGAGAGAGAGAGAGAGAGAGAGAGAGGGAGGGAGGGAGAACGAGGGAGGATATATTGATACAAAACGACGGTGGTTTCTCTTCAGTGTGTGTGAGAGAGACCATGAGTGAAGACAAGATGGAGTGCTGGAACAGATGAAGACTATCATTGGGTGAGTGTGTGTATGTTTCTGTATGATTGCCTTTGTATTTTTGTCCACTTGATAATGCATGTTTGTGTACCAGCTTGACCACCTGTTAGTGTGTGTGTGTGTGTGTGTGTGTGTGTGTGTGTGTGTGTGTGTGAGTGTGTCTGTGTCCACATGCATGCATGTTGCCTGCAGGTATATTTCCTCATGAGTGAACACATTTCTGTGTATGTTTATAAGTCAGGTTTAATGGTTGTGTACTAGTAGCTGTGTTTATTTGCACTTCTGCTTAACTCTGCATGTGATGTGTTTCTATTTATGCTGGCCAACATGTGTATGTTATTCAGCCTGACAGCCTTTGTGTGCAGTGACAGTGTTTTTGCATCATAGCAGCCTTACTGTGTGTACGAACGTGTTGAAATGACGGTCTTGCCACACATCTGCAAATATTATTGTTGACTGTGATGTTAATGTAATGTAAAATGCTTTTTTTATTATTATTTTTTAGTCAGATAATCCAAGAGGCAAAGTAAAATTGTGCAGCATGTTGTGTGTTTGATATTTTAGACTTTAGTGTGGCATTTCCAGCAAGCACGCAAAACAAAAAGGAAAAAACTTTGTTTTGACTCATAACAGTGCCATTTTATCTCGCTTATTCTATTTTTGGCTCATTAGATGGTGTAGTTCACGAGACAAGAATCTTACGAACTAAAGGGAAAGATGTGAAAAAAGGTTGAAAGAGAATGTGCGAGACAGAGATAGAATGCACAGAAGAGGACGCATATGAAACAGGCACTATATCTCTGTCCTTAGGGAGGTAGTGTAATCAAAACAGCTGCATTACTGGTAATGAAAGATATTATCAGCAGAAAGTCTGTCACACATCTTTATCTATCTGGATCAGGGGCCGTGGGGCATTCTTCTGTTTCACTTGTTACATCAAACATTTTGTTTTAGTTTAATGAAATTGGCTCCACAACATTGGTTGAAATTGTGTAAGATTATGTCTTTCCACACCTGCACTTTTTTTGCGGAACATAAAAGAAGACATTTAGCAGACTGTTCAAGCTGCTTTTTCCACAGTAAAAGTATATGGAAATGACCTATTATGGACTCATTTAAATGTTTTTTTTTTTCTTCTAAGGAAAGAGGGATTTAACCATTTTTGGGTCATTTGATTTTTTTTTAACTTCATTTATTAAAAGGAAGAGGGTACTGAAAATTTTTTCAGTCACTTTCAATTTGAACCATGTTTATTTGTTTATGTATGTATGTTTGTTTGTTTAATTTTCCTTAACCCAATTTTCTTTATGCTTTAAGCATAAAAGCTGTATGGAATTATTTTGAAAACAAGAAACATTATATACTAATGGGTTAAGAAATATAAACATGAAAAAATAAAAAAATAAATTAGAAAATGCCAAATAAACTTAATTCAAGAAAATTGACCTGAAAACAAATCCATTATGTCACACAATTTTGCTTCTAAAGTATGTTTTAAGGATCTTGTTTTAGGGATGTTTTAATAGGAAAACTAGACCTAGAATAGAAAACTAGAACTAGAAGATGATTTTTTTATTGCAGTTTATGAGATGGGAAGGATGTACAGGATGTACAATGTTATCTTGTTTTTATTTCAATACAGCATATATAGTATTTATATTTTATTTGTATAAAGCTGTTTTTTTTTTCTTTAAGTTAAAAAAAATTAGTGCTGGGCAACGATTAATCGCATCCAAAATAAAAGTTTTTCTGAACATAATATATGTGTGTACTGTGTATATTTATTATGTATATATAAAGACACACATACAGTATATATTTAGAAAATATTTACATGTATATATTTATGTTCATATATTTTATATATAAATATATTTAATATATAAACAACATATTTTTCTTAAATATATACATGCATATGTGTGTGTGTGTGTGTATTTATATATACATAATAAATATACACTGTACACACACATATACTATTTGCACAAAAACTTTTATTTTGGATGCGATTAATCGCGATTATTCGTTGCCCAGCACTAAAAAAAATGTTAAAGTTGTGTTTTAAAAAGTTCTTTCTCTCTCCCACCACAGTTCTTTCCAGTGGTTCCGATGAGCGTTTCCAAACCACCTCCGCCCCATTCCCATTTCCCCCCCAGCAACCCGTCCTCCCATCTCTCCCTGCCTCCATCCTCCTCGTCCTCCCCCTCTCCCTCCACCCCTCCCTCTGCCGCGGGTCCCCCCAGCCCCGCTGTGCCTCCTCCTCCCTCCCCAGTCAAGATCTCCATGCAGGAACACTTTGCCATCAATGTGTGCCCCGGCCCCATCCTCCCCATCCCACAGATCTCCGACTTCTTCCCTCGTTTCCACGACTTCCCCATCACCCCCCTTCCACCCCGGGAAAAACAAGTTCTAAAGGACAAAGACAAGGACGGAGACGGGAATGGAGAGAAAGACCGCAAGAGGGAGAGAGAGCAAGAGGAGAACGGAGAGTTTGCCGACTCGGATGACGATGACAGTGAGTTTGTCTCGTGGCTAGTGACTGTTTCACGTTTGGTTCCCCTTGGGTGGGTTTACACATGTGTTTACGCTCTTAAGTAATCATTTTGCAGATGCATATTTCACAAATCTACAGACATCCTTCTAGAACGGCCTGGGGTTAAGTGCTTTTCTCAAGGACACAATAGTAATAGTACTTGAAGGAGTCCTTGTGGGCTTCGAACCTACTACCTTTGTCATTGCCAGTCCAAATCTTTAACCACATCAGCCCAGTCTCACATACTGTAAAATCATGCTTCTCTATTACATAACTCCTCACATTCATGAATCCAAGGATATTTTCTGTTCTGGATTCCCTGTGTTTGATTGACTGATTTTATTCACCAGTAAGCAGCCAATGAGGCATGAGCACTTCCCATCGGCCTGGACCTGAGTCTCATACTGTTCGGTATCGATTGCTTTGTGTGGTGTTTGCTGGATTGGTGTGAGTGTGTGTGATAACAGGTATGCGATCGGAGTGTTAAATACTTCATTAGTCTCTGTAATGGTGCATACAAACTACAAGCCCTCTGCATGTGCACAGCCCTGATTAGGTCATTACAGGCAAGACTGATTCCCAGCTAAGTCGTTTGGGTTGTTATCGGTTGCTATTGTTACTAATGTGCGTGCAACACATTAAGTTATTCCTTTGTTTCTTTTAGCCTACCTGGGAACTCTGGAGTTCAGCCTGCTATTTGACCAAGAAAATAACTGCTTGCACTGCACAATCCACAAGGCCAAGGTAAGTTTATACTCACACAAACACTACTGGGCGTTTCTACAACTATAGGCATTATATTACTATATTGTAGTAATAAACTCCTTTAAAGCATGCTTACTACACTATCACTCAACTAACAATTTCTGACAGTTAACATTTTTGTTTTGACATTTTTTCCCCTTAAACTAATGAACATTTCCACCACATCTGAAATTATGTATTGTGTTTAATAATAATCGGTGGTGGAAATGTGAAACATTTTTAAAATAAAACAACAGACTGCAGTCTTGCTAAGAGTAGTAGGTAGCATTTTATGCATCCCAAATGAAATGAAGTTATATTTGTACACTTTTTGCATCATTTGACAAAACTACAGCTTGATTGGAAATTGCATTATTTTTATTACATTTTTCTTCACAATGTCGTTTTGAAAAAAAGAGGTAAAAGTTAATTGGTTTTTAAAACTGAATTAGAATCATAATTTAATGGGAAAAATATATATGTATAATACAGCAGTTGTAGAATGTAATAACAAATGTTTTTTCCATGGGTTTTCATATTCTAATATTAAAAGTCTAGGTCTGGGACAAAAGTAGAATAATACAATTTATACATAATACATATACAAGAAAAAATTAAAAAAGTTTCCAAGACCGTGTAAATGTGATCTTCATATTACAAAAATAAACGTTTAAGTCAAGCACTGGAATATAAAAGTGTCTGAAGTAGAAGAAATACCCTTTTACAAAATGTTCTATGGCTTTCGGTCTGTTAGCTTTGACAGTGTACTTCTAAAATTTTAAATATATTCACAAATTGTACAAATCTTTTTCAATATGCTAATTATTTCATATGCTATAAATATATGGGTCTTTTCTAATATTGATGACTCATCCTGCACTCATTTACAAAATATTGTTCAATAAAATGCCCTCTATAAATTTCTCTACCCATAAGCCACTAAAACTGACTAGCGAAAGCAAGTAGCATCATATATTTAAACATATAATTTACTAAACATAAAATTTACTTGCATGTAATTTGCCAAATAAAAATAGAGTTCAACATTTTATTTCATGGTTTATCTTGAGCAAGCAATAAACAAACTTTTTTTTTTTAACTGTTTTGCATTATTAAACAGTCCAATTAAACAACCATGTGCCCTAAAGTGTGCATATCACTGTAAGGATATGATCTAGCAACCTCTCACCCCAGACATGAGTGTGCATCTTATGTGACATGAAGTCTTTATGCTTTTGTGTGTTTGTTTGTGCCCACAGGGACTAAAGGCCATGGACTCCAATGGACTGGCGGATCCATATGTGAAACTCCACCTCCTGCCTGGAGCAAGCAAGGTCACTGCAACCTTCTCACACGCACACAGCATGGTTCAACTCTCGCTGCACCATCAGCACAAGTTGTGATTCCCCATCAAGCACACACACACACGTCAACACGTGCGTTGCACAAAACACACAGGCGTGATATGAGCATGCATCACTGGCAGGGCCGCCCATGAGCGCTGAAGCTGTTCGTGTGGAGAACATGCGGTGGAAACGGGTGGATTAAGAGAGCGCTTCAGCACTGAATTATTCTCTCTTTCATTTCCTTTCATTTGATCTCTTTCACATGTAACGAATGCACGGCACTCCAATCTGTTCAAAGCAGGACAGGCTGAGACAGGAGTGTCCTGTCTTCTCTCCAGTGGTTTTTACTCTTCTCCGCTGTCCCGCACTCTCGTCCGAATCTCTGCCGCTATCTCTCTGTCTATTGCCACATGACCCACTTTGACCTTGGAATACCAACACAGCGTTGAGTGCAGGATGGGAGGGAGGGATGGAAAAAAGAGAGAGACAGATGAGGGGGGACAGCAGCAGGTGGTTGTCATGGAAACAGCACAGATTGTTACACGACTCACGTCAACGGAGGAGCGTATATGTACGAGAGGGAAAGAGAAAGCGAGGAGCGTCACGTCTTGCGTACGCTCCCATGCGCCAGCCTGGTAAATATCGACCGCCAGGGTTATACAGACACCTCCGGGCTTTTAAAAGGTGTGCGAACCGGAGGAGATGGACGCGTATGCATACGCCCACCTTCAGACGTAGACGTACACATACTCTCACGCACGTACGTGGGCGTGCTGGCATTAAAAGAACCCATTTATAACACTCTCTCTCTCCTTTTGTCCTTTTACACGCTTCATGGTTTCATATGCATCCATATGCGATCTATTAAAGGAATAGTTCACCTAAAAATAAACATTTTGTCTTTTACTCGACCTTGTATGACATTTTTTCTTCTTTTATGGAAAAGAGCTTTTTTGTTTGTACAATGGAAGTGAATGGCGACCATGACTGCTAAGAAAGATTTTCAGTAGTCACATTTTATATTTCAATCTGTTCCTAACAGAGAGCATTGTACGGCCTGTGATATGCTGTACAAGTCATATGGGCTAATTTTATGATTTTTTAAAAGGGCTTCACCCAGTGTAAACTATAAAGTAAATGGTTTTCAGTAATTCAGATACAAAAAAAGAAATGAAATATAAATATTAGATGAAAAACTTTTTATTAGGTAGTTGTCAACAAGGCAATATTTCTAATTTATGACATTTAAGAGGGCTTGTCCCAGTGTTGTTAACTAAAACTAAAGTGTATTAAGTGTTAAAATAAATAAATAAATACAAATAAAAATCTAAATATAATATTAAAATATACTGTTTTGATTTAATTTAAAATTTTAATCTATTTATTTCAGTTAGTTGTCACAATAATTTTCTAATTTTAGTTTTTTACATTTAAAGGTAAAGTACTAAAATTACTTCAAAACTGAAATAAAAAAATCAATAAAGCTGTTTAGAAATGTTTTAAAAATTACTTCATCAAAAATGAAAACTGAAAATATAAAAGTAAAAGCCTCAAAATTTGTAAAATATTATAAATATTGCCTAGACAACATACCATCCATACAATGAAAGTGAATAGTGACCAAACTGCCATGCAATATTTTCAGTAGTCACATGTTAAATTTTAATCTGTTTCTTGCTTAAAGCACTGTATGAAGAATTGAAATATATAGCACACAAGACTTTTATGATATTTAAGAGCTCAACCCAGTGTTGTTAACTAAAGATAAAATGTTTTCAATAATTTAAAAAAATGCAAATAAAATATAAATATTGAAATGAAAATTAGAAATGTTGCATTGACAACTGAAATTCATTTAATAATACAAACATTTATAAAACTAAAATTAAATTAGAGCTATGTAAAAATACAAAAAAACTAATACAGTGGTGGCCAAAATTATTAGAACACTAGTATGCTGTAGTGTGTCAGCAGGAAATATCAGTTTACATTTCCAAACATAAATTTTGCCATTAATTGTAATAATCCAGGGAGATTTTTGTCTGACAACAGCCAGTGCTCCACACAGAGATCTGATCTCACCATCATCCAGTCTGTCTGGAATGACATGAAGAAACAGAACAAACTGAGACAGACTAAATCCAGAAGAACTGTGGCAACGTCTCCAAGATGCTTTAAGAGACCTAAAACTTTTAACAGTACTGTAGCTTTGCAGGTAGGTTTCTTAAAGCATCTTGGAGACGTTGCCACAGTTCTTCTGGATTTAGCCTGTGTCAGTTTGTTCTGTTTCTTGGCCACCACTATATAAAATGACAAAAGCACATTATAAAATTACTAAGGCTTGAACAAAAATGACACCTGGAAATATAAAAATAAAACCTTTTCAAAATATGAATAAATGCTACAATAGCTAGTCGCCATCAGAACTACTTATTTTATGTTCCACAGATTAAAGAAAGTCACACAGCTTTGGGACGATGTGGCGATGAGTAATTTTTGCTTGAACCATCCCTTTAACGAACTACTTCCCGTGCAGGAACTCCATCAGCATCCCATAAAAAGTGCAGGAAGCAGAAGGGGAAAAAAACGAGAGGGAGGGAGAGATTGTAGAGCTCGTGAGTGGCCCTTCTTGGTCGAGTTTGTGTGTGTGTGTCATCATCACACAGCATGGAGAATGAGATATCTGAGTCACACACACTCTCCCAAGCTGCTGCTCTGGGAATCTCACTGCCCTGGGCCAGATGGAGGGAGGAAAGGGAGAGAGAGAAAAGGGGGAAGAGAGAAGTGGAAGATGAGGATAAAATATTTAGAAGAAAATGCGATAGCACCAATTTGGCAGGAGGAGAGAGAGACAGGTGAAACCATATGCTGTTGCAGGCAAAGATGCAATATGAGTGAGGAACTTGGAGAGAAAATAGCTGGAAAGCTAGTAGGAGTAAGTAGGAGCATTTTTTGATGAATGCTTGAAGGGCAAACTCAGATTGTAAGTTTGCTTTTATGGTTTACAGTCTTTACTGTCTAAAGTACCATGTTTTAGTGTACTCAACATCACTGAAGCTTAAAGTCAACAAGAAAATAAAGTTAACTTAATGCACTTTTCTAGTTTTATTGTGAATAATTCACCAGTACACATTATTCCAAAGAAGAAAGGTTTTTTTTTGTTGTTTTTTTTTTACATTTGAAAGAAATTAATACTTTTAGCAAGGATGCATAAAATTTATCAATAGAAAGGAAAGATATTTAGAATGTTACAAAAGATTTCTAAATAAATCTTTTGAACTTTCTATTTTTTAAAGAATCCTGAAAATTGTCATGGTTTGCACACAAATACTAAACACCACAAGCGTTTTGAGTGTAATATTAAATGATTCTTGAGCATCAGATCATATTAGAATGATTTCTTAAGGATCATGTGACACTCAAAAACACTGGAGTAATGATGCTGAAAATTCAGCTTTGCATCACAGTAATAAATTACATTTTAAAATATATTAAAATAGAAAACAGTTCTTTTAAATTGTAATAATATTTCACAATATTACTGTTTTTACTGTATTTCTGATCAAATAAATGCATCTTTTGTGAGCAAAAGAGACTTCATTCCAAAACATAAAAAATCTTATCCTCCCAAATGTTTAAACTGTAGTGTACATGTATATATGTATTATTTTTATATAATCCCAGGAATACATTTGTACTCAGGGCTGTACAGTGCGACATATATGTCGCACATGCTACGAAAAAACTTACTTGTGCTACAACTTTTTGGCCTGTGCTACAAAACTTTCAACCTCTGTAGCACCAGTGCTATGTGAAAAAAAAGTTAACGTACAGCCCTGGTACTACCATTGTACATTTTCCAAAAAAAATGGTAGTACCAAGGTACATTTTTGTATGTGATGCTGTCAGATAATCATCATGGTACTATCATTGTAAATGGCCAAGAAATATAATGTTTGTTACTTTTTATTGAATTGTAAATGCCATGGTAAATGAATACTGTATGTTAAACACTCAGTATGACCTTACCATCTGATGCCATCACTGTACTATGGTACTGCCACAGTAAAGTCAATTAAATGAATAGTGGTTTGAATGATTCATCTCAAGTCCCAGTAGCTATTTTCTCAGTTGGTGCTGTTTTAATGGATTGTTACATGTATTTTTTGCTAATGTCTGTTGGAATTAAAGTGTGTTTATTCATTTGCCGAGCATCCTCAGGGGGCGAGAGAGAGGATAGCCAAGCTTGGCTGGTTCCAGCTTCAAATGCAGCAGTGCAGATAGTAGAACAGAGCGAGAGAGAGAGATGAAATGAAATATGCAGAGAAGCAACATGTTCTTCAGGCAATGAATGACGTGGACTCGCTCTGTCAGGAGAGCGAGCGCGAGAGAGGCTGCGGTTTGGGAGATTGTGTTTGGGTCTTCACAGCCAGAGCGTTTCTTTGATTTAACACTAATTTGTTAAATGAGCTGTTGCAGGGTAATTGCCCAGTTTGGGGAGTTTAGCGTGCATGTCAGGGTATTTGAAGTGCGAGAGTCGGGTGGGAGCAGAATTTTAGGGAAGAAATGGTGTGATGGTGAGCTGTGTGTTTGTGTGTGTGTGGGTGGTTAGATTTGGCCTACATTGAGGAGAGCAACCGTCCCCACAAGCAGCGGCACCATTTTTCAGGGGGTACCAGCGGTGGTTCTGGCTCACTCTGTGCCGTAGGCAGGGCATGACATGACTACGGGGGGAAAAAACACTTTTCAACTTGCTCTGTAGTGTTTTGTGTGAGATGAGTTCAGTGTTACAGTTTTAGCGTGCATGTCAGGGTATTTGAAGTGCGAGAGTCGGGTGGGAGCAGAATTTTAGGGAAGAAATGGTGTGATGGTGAGCTGTGTGTTTGTGTGTGTGTGGGTGGTTAGATTTGGCCTACATTGAGGAGAGCAACCGTCCCCACAAGCAGCGGCACCATTTTTCAGGGGGTACCAGCGGTGGTTCTGGCTCA